TTTAATGGGAATAAGCATAACATTCACTGGAAACAAAAAATCAGCTTGGCACCAGGATGTGAAGCTTGTGAAGGCTGGGGTAAGAAAATGGGAGAATGTGTTCAAGGCTGGAGGGATGAGAGGAAGGCACTAACCCAGAAATCACAAATTGTTCAGCATTGTTGGAATGTGAAATGTAAGGGCTTTTGTATGCCATTTAATTGAATAATATCTGGCCATATGTTGAGATTATTAAAACATAGTTGTAATGCCAAGGTTTTAAATTAAAATAGGAAAGTATATTTTAAAAAAACTTCTGAAACTCTTAAAAACACATCCGTTCAGGATCAATAGTTTTGTATTTTGCTTTAGAAGAAACTAAATCACGAAACTTAACTAGGAGTGCCTGGAAACAAACATCAATCCATTTTACTTTAAAATGTTCCCAGAGGAGGTTTTTTTTTTTTCATCACATGACCATTAATCAAATTTAGACAATATATTTTTAAAGTAAATGTGATATAATACTTCATTATTTTTAAATCTCATAGATTTTCATATTTTGCAAACTTGAAGATTTAATATAATTTACTCCATAAAATCTACCCACCCACAGCTGATTACCTGACATCTGATCCGTTTCTATACTTTGAGTAAATTGAAAATTCTTTTTTTCTTAAGTGATATTGGAAGATATAGACAAAGAAAGCAAACATGCTTTATGAAAACAAAAATATCATCAACTATGCCAACTGTGATTTAATTTTTGTAGAAAGAGTACAGGACTCAGAAGTTGTGAATTCAAGGTTCTGTTAGTTATCTATCATTTCAATTATGATATCATAAACATTTGTTACTTCATTAGTTCTTCTAAAATTTACGTAGCCATACGGTTTCAAGAATCAATTACTCTAGAAGACTTGTATAACAACCAGAAGTACCATAAGCCTTCCCCCCATTTCCTATTTTCTACAGGCAACAACTTCCAACACTTTTAGCTGGATTCTATTTTTACATCCGTATCTCCAAATAACATGTTTATATTGCCATTTCTTGATTTTTAAAAAGTTTTAGTCATTTTCTGTTGACGTTACCCTGAAGCAGATGTAGTGTCACTTTTCACCACTGCGCCACCTCAAAGCCCCCACTACACACATGCGCAATTTCCAGTCCCCCAAATTCCTAATCTAGTTATAGTTCTATTTAGTTTTGATCAGCATTCATGGTTTACATTATTACAACTATGTAAATACTAGTTACAGCCCAGCCATGCAGCATATTCTATGTTGACTGTGCTGCATAGTATTTTTTAATACTTGGAATTATTAACTGTCTTTATTTTTTGTACCTTCGTTTTCTATGAACCAATCATGAATTTAACCCTAAAGTCGCCACCAACTGTCTTAATATCCTCTGAATATGTTTTAACTCTTCAAGAATTCTATTTAACCTGGAAGAAGTCTCTATGCTGAGACTCCTGACCTATTCCAATTTTTGTTCTCCTCTCACCATCCTCCCAAGGAACATTGTTACCTCTTTCACATGGATCTTTTGTTTTCTGTGTTCCATGTTTTTCTGTTTATCTTGGTTTACTCCCTTGTTTTGGTGGTGCACAGTCTTCAGTAGCTGGATCAGGCAGAGTATACCTAGGAAGAATTTGTTCTCCTGTTTGATTGATAGTTGCACTGGGTATATACTTCAATGTAAGAAATTATTTTCCATCAGGCACTGTTCCACTGCTTTCTAGCTCCTGGTGTTTCATCCATTTGGCAGGGCCCCTGTGTTTTCTCTGTGTCTGCACACATGACGTTTAGCACTGGTGGAGAAAGTCAGGGCAAGCAAGCTGATCCCATGACAAACGGATAGCGACCAACATCAGCCGGACTCTGAACAGTACCAATTCATTTTTTTTTTTTTACAGATGCAAAGCTAGTTTTAAAACTCTATAAACAAACAAACACAAACAAAACTTTCTATTTTCTTCAAACCTCTGACAGCTCTCCTTCCTGTACACTTTCAACAGGTAACTTTGACTTTGACTCTTTTGGGAAAAATTAAAGCCCTCCTATGGTATTCCCCTGTGTTCTAGGAATGAAACTTGCATGCTGACCTACATTTACACCCACTTGTTCATCTTCTGATGAGCTGTTTCTCTTCCACTTGTTCATACTTTCAAAGCCCTGTAATATCGATCCCTTCTATTTTTTCTTATATATTTAATTTTTGATAAATGGGTCATTTCCAGTGCTCAGTTCTCATTCATTATTAGATCAATCACCCAAGCTACCAGCCAACAAGCCCAATAAACAACAAAGAGCTCCTCCTCTACCCATATTATCCTTCAGTTATTGCTCTCTCCTCTTTTCAGGCAAACTTCTTCCAAATTGTTGTCTTTACTCCTCATTTCATTAGCTATTCAGTCTTTCACCACTTTATTCTGGCTTTCTTACTTATATCCCACTGACCCCCATCAAAATGTTTGGACCTCCCCTATTATACAAAGATAACCATACTTTCCTTTTTTGAAATTATCCTTTTCCTGGGTGTACATGACAAAACTTTGTTTTGTTTTTTTCTTCTTCTCTTACTAATTCCATCTCCTTTCCCATTATACTGTTACCTACTATTGGAAGTTGTGAAAGGCTCTTTCCTTGATCCTCTTTATTTCTAATTCTCCTTTATTTTCCTAGCCAGTCCTGCCCATGCATATGATTAGAATGACCACCTACAAACAATACATTTGAATCCCCTGCCAAGATCTCTTTTTCTGAGCTCCAGATCCTTGTATCCAATTGCTTACTAACTTCTTGTGGGTCTCAATGGCACCTTGCACTCAGTATGCCTAATTCAAGTTCATCTTTCCTCCAGTATAGTAAGTCCTCTTCCAGTGTCTCCTATTTCAGTTAATGGTACCAACCTCTCTCCAATTATGCTAGCCAGGACCTTAGAGCCATTCACATTTACCTCTTCATCATCCTGTACCCAATCTGTACTGATGGTAAACTGGCGATACTTACCATCAAAATATTTCTCAAATCCTTTCATGTCTCTCTATCTGAACTACTCTAAGTAAGCTACCAGCATCTATTACCTCAATTTCTAGATAGTCTCTTAATTGATTTAGCTGCTTTTGTCCTTATCCCTCAATCTGCTTTCCATATGATAGCCATAGCCATTTTTAAAAAACGCAAATCTAAGAACACAATCCTTTACTTAAAATTTCTACATGGCTTCCTTCTGTTCTAAGGATAAAATAAAAACTTCTTAACTTGGCTTACATGCTCTGCTCCTTACTTCTCTCTTCTTCCTTAGTTAGTACCATCTGATTTTTTGTTTTCTTTTACCAGCTTAGGGTGGTCTTCTTTTACCAGCTTAGGGTGGTCTTCTTTTAGTTCTTCCATGGAAGACTACATGCTCCCTTCTACAACCACAGAGTCTTTGCTTATACTGATCCTGCTGAGAGACAATATAAATTGGTAGCTAAGTACAGAGCACATAAAGTCTAATACTCAAGGAAGACTGCTTGGGTTCACATCCTGATTTTGCAGCTTAGTTGTATAAACGTGGGTAAGTTGTTTTACCTCCTGTGCCTCAGTTTCCTCAAATGAAAAATAAGGATAATTGTAATATCTACCTTCAGGGATATTATTATGATTGAATAATCATTATTACGATTGAATAATCATAATCAAAGGGAAAGCTTCTTCCCTCCCCTTTCTTGTCCAGTTAATTTCTTTGCAAACTTCCATTCTCAGCTCCAGAGTCACTGTTTCTGAGCAGCCTTCAAGGACCTCCCTGAAAAATCTGATTACTCCATTACAGGACTTTTCGTATCTTGAATCTCTTATTTTTAATTCTTATTATAGGTGCAATACAATATTTTTCTGAGTGATTTACTTATTTATTTGTTTATGCTCAACATTCTATCTTTTTCATTAGAATGCCAGCTCCAGGAATGGTGTTTGCTTTTGGTCACAATTCTTTGGGTCTAACACAGTGCCCAGCACATGATATGTTCCCATAAAATATTTGTTGCCAGGAAAGATGGTAAATATACCTGATGCAAGTCTCCTTGATAACTTCTTTTGGTGCTTCAATTAGTGCTTTGCACAGTAATTAATACGTTTAGAGAAGAAATGTATGGACACGTTTCTTCTTTCCTGGTGCTTCAAGTCCATGTTCAAGAGTGGCAGTAGGTGGGCTTGCTAGGGAAGGTAGGATCAGAAATTCATTTGCTGGTTATCATCTGTGAGACACTGATCTTGAGAACAGAGAAGAGCCCTCAGTGCCTGACAAGACAGCCCTGGATCCAGCTAATGACCATTGTAATCTCAGAGCCCCTTTCCCCCCTTTTTTTAAATCAGCTGAATCCATTCCTTGACAATCACATAGAAAATGACTCCATCCCCACCTCATTCAAGAAAAAACTCCCTTTGCTCCCAATAAAAAGAGTAAGCCTCTTGTCCATCTCATATGCAGCTGTCTACTTTGCTGGGATGAGTCAAAGGGGCGATCTGAGTTTGAACTGTTAGTAGGGGAAGGAACTTCATGGGAGCAATGATCACCAGTGATGTCTGTGAGAGATGGACATTGTTCTTTCCGCAGCCCTTCTCTTTTCTCCCTTCTGTTTCCAGCTTGTGGGATGGACTGGGGTTATGGGTTTTAGGATGTAGTGTGTTCTATGTAAGTAGAAGGAAAATTGTGTGTGCACTTCATATGTGTTCTAGAGTGTGCTGTGCTTGAACTTGGAGAGTGTCTGGGTTTGAACTATGAAAGTATGTGCGGGGGACAAGGTCTATACGTTTAAAGGCAGAAAAGTGGTTGTGTGTACGTGGTGAGTGTGTGCGCGCGAGTGTATGCTAGCGCCAGGGGCCGCCCGCCCGCGCGCGCGTCCGCCCGCCCGCCGGGGCTCCCGTGGGATCTGCCGGGCCAATGAGCGCGCGGCTTCAGGGGCGGCGGGCGGGGAGGGAGCCCCGGAGCTCTGCGGATGGATGCGCGGGCGGCGCGGCGCGCTCATTTCGCGCGGGCGTTGCTGGCTGGGGGCGGTGCAGCCACTGGCCCAGGACCGAGACCCGGACCCGGGGCGGCGGGCAGTGTGGGCGGCGCCCGGGGCTGGGATGCGCTGGGGACTCCGTGGCGGCGGCGTTGGCGGCGGCGTCGGCGGCTGCGGGCGGACGAGGTAGCGCCGCGGCGCGGGGAGCCAGACGAGCCCGTCCGGCGAGCGGAGGCGGCGCAGGCACCGCGGCGGCCGCAGCCGGAGCCCGAGCACCGCACGCCCACCATGGCCGCCCAGGGCGAGCCCGGCTACCTGGCGGCGCAGTCGGACCCGGGCTCCAACAGCGAACGCAGCACAGACTCACCCATGCCTGGCTCTGAGGACGACCTTGTCGCCGGGGCGCCACTGCACAGCCCGGAGTGGAGCGAGGAGCGCTTCCGCGTGGACAGGAAGAAACTTGAGGCCATGTTACAAGGTAGGCATCACCCCCGCGTTCTCGGACTCCCCTGTTGCGTCCCCAGCTCCTTCCCGGACATCCTCGTCGCGCGCCCCAGCGCCCGCCACTCCGGCCCGTAGCCAACTTAGTTCCCTGGTCCCCTTCCCTGTGGAGTCGGGGGACACCCATGGAGTGGAGATCTAGCGGTACTCTCCACCCTTCCACACCTACCAGGTTTCGAGGCACCGGAGACCCTGTGCTAACTTGCCGGCTGCAGAAAAGCCTAAGGCCGAGTTTGTACCGGGGCGCCTAAGTTGCGTTCTGGACTTTGGAGATGCCGTCCTTAGTGCGGACACCTGGGCTGTGCCATCCCACCCCACTCGGACCGCACAGAGTGTGTGTGACTCTCCCCACTCGCTGGCAGCCTTGAATTCTAGCTCTGTCTCTTTCTGTCTTGTTTCTCTCTCTCCTCTTGTCAGTATCTACTTCCTCCAGCTGAGGGGCCTTGTCTGGCTATTGGAAAACGCTCTGCAGATGTCAAGGCTTAAGACAGGAGTTCCGCCCACCATCCTCCACCCTGGAGCAAGAGGGGCCAGGATGGGGGTGAGCATCCAAAGCTGGGGATTGTGTCAGGGCAATGCTGCTGGGTTGGAGCACAGTATGTGTTCATCTCCTGACAGGCCTATAAAACACATCATGAGTTACAATAAGTTCGTAAAACTCTTCCAGTGCCATGGGTGTCTGACTGTGTCTTTCAGAACTTGGAATTTTTTTTTTTTTTTAACTCCCTAGTTTCTTTGGGACTTTCACAGGCGTAACAGCTTTAACCATATCGGACTGAAAACAAATTCTGTGTTTTACTGGGAGGATTGGAGTTCTCAGAGTGAACGCTAAAATGTCCAAGGTCATTTTGCCCTTCCTTGAAATGTTAATTACTAGCTTAACTGTAGCCACAGATGTGGCTTATTTCCTTCATCCAGAGAAATAAAGTATTTTCAACGAATGTCATTCTTGAAGTACTGCAGAGGACCAGGCATTAGTTTCACTAAGGGCGAGTAGTGGATTCATTCAGTAGCTAGTGTCCTTGTAACAAGGGAGCATTGGAGCCGTCCAACTTCTTTTTTTGTGTGCCTTTATGCATAACTTATTTTGACTTTATCAGTCAATACATCGCAATATGGGAGCTATTTAGCCTCTGGAAATGCAGTGGCTTTTTAGAACATTTAAGCAGGTTATTTTAAGAGAGAACAACATGTTTTCCAAAACAATAACTTGGTGGAAACAAATAGCAGGAGTGTTTGGCAGGCGTTTTTGGATGAGCTACGAATTCATCTCCCTTGTTGCTTATTTTTATTGATAAACATCCCTAGTGCTTGTCATGTCTCTCTCTCTTCCTTTCTTTCTTTTCCCCCCCTTAAATTATGTGACTTTAGGAGAGTTAATTCTGTGATAAACTGTTCAAATAAGAATATTGCAAAGTGGATTTGGAAATTAAAGCCCCAGTTGCTTTTTGATAACCCATTTTAGTTATTTTATGATTCTTTTTGTCTAGTGTCTGGTTATAAAACAGAATGTTACATTTATTCAGGAAAATATTGTTGAGAGATTTTTTGTATTTAAATGACATACCACATACCTACCTTTTCAACAAGTTTCCAATTTGTGTTCTCCATGAATCTGGAGTAATGGTGGGTCTTGTAATAATATGTCTTCCTTACCTGTTTTACACACATGAACCTACAAATGACATCAGTGATATTAGCTTCCAGGAAGCCCTCATGTATAACTTGAGCTTTAGAAGTGGATTCCTTTTTTAAAATAATTAATTTTCATTTAGAATAAAATATGGGTGAAGCACTTCTAAATTTCAAGGCTCTCCCCTTTGTAGATAGGGTATTTTGACATGAGATGGTTTAATATTGCTTTGCAGTGGTAAGATTTTATTTACAGAAAATCTTAGCAGAGTTAACATTTCTTCACCAGCCAACATATAGTGAAATATTCACATTTTAATCCCAAAGAATTCTTTAATGATTGAACATAGTGCTTTAACTTTCCAAAATTACCAATAAGTAAATTACGCCTTCTAAGAAAGTAAATTCTGAACATGTTTGATAATAGAACCCAGCGCAGAGTGTACCAAGGCATTTTGTGATGCATGGTTCTAGTGTCAAATTATATAGGACCACCATGTTGGAAGGAATAAGATTAGTTTTCTGAACCAGACATAATCACGCCTTTCTGCTTTATACCAGATGGTGATAGCAAGTGCAGGCGCTGGAATCGCTCAGACCTAGGTTCAGATAAATCCCTGTGGGACATTGGGACAGTTCCCGGGCCTCTGTTTCAGTTTGCCCTTAGGATTTTGTGAGCATGAAAAGTGATAATGACCAATAAGCTAAAACTTGCCATACTGAGAAGAGTATAATAGATATCAGTTGTTGATCATTATTAATAATAAATACTACAACATGGATTCAAAAGATTTCTACTGCCTATCAGAATTTCCTGACATATAGTATATACTTAAATAAAGGGAACAAAAGAATTTAGCAATTTCATAATTACAGAAATAAAATAGATACCAAAGTTGGAAATTTGGCTGGTCAGCAAATATTCTAATATTGTTAGCTATTCCTGAGTGAAAAAGACCTTTCATTTGAAAAGTGCCAAGTAAGTAAAGTCTGCATTTGGTTGGGTTTCTGATTATTGTGAATTTGGATTTGCCATTTTTCTTCTCACAGTTGCCTTAAAGTATGTGTAGGTTTCCAGTTCAAATCAGGATAAATAAGGTTATCTGCCTTTAAGTCTACATAGTGCAAATTGGTGATTATAATGCTTGGAATTTGTTTCCAGAGAGAGTGTCCTGGGGGCAAGTTAATCTTTAATAAGTTGTATTTTTATTAGTAGAGAAATTCTTCTACGCAATGGACCAAAAATTCAGTGAGGTTAAAATATGGGGAGTGGAGTAATGGTCACAGAAATGAAATCCATTCTTGGATTATCACTGACTCCCCAAAGAATTGATACAAATAAAACCACCAGGCTGAAAATGTAGGGAAAAATCACTAGTATTTCTTTTCTCCTCCTCCTTGTTTTGGGCCCAATAACTACCTTGGAACAGCCTTACAGAGTAGCTGGTATTTTTGTTCAAACCTAAAGGAAGATTATCCATTTTATTAGTCATCAGTTTTCTAAGTGGTAATTTTTTTTTCAAGTTTAATTTAGTTTTTTGATTGGTAGGGTCAGTTTTGGGATGGATACCATGAACAGCATTGTTTAATTATGAAGAAAAATAGTTTTTAATTGGTTTAATATTGATCTTCAAAATTTAGATTTTACGCTTCACATGAGATCATAGTGTTGATTCATTTAAGTCAGTTGAATGAGAGTTGGAAGGAAAGAGGGAGGAGAGGTGTAGGGGGAGTGGGAAGTCTGAGAGAAGTAGAAAATAAATAGGTCAAAAGAGTCACAAATAGTTTTAGTGTTTGGAGTCCTGAGAGGCAAACATGGAATCTGTGTATTTTAACTCTTGTTTTTCTGTGGTTGTTTACATCTTACTGTTCCACTCTTCTTTTTATGCTGAAAAACATATGTGTACAATACAGTAAAATTTCCTACATAAAATTTAGAAGCATAGGTACTTTCAAAGTTCTGAGTCCCTTGAATTTCATCATAGAAAGGAGGAAGTGTTAAAAGGGGGGGAAATGTCCTATTACCATGAATTGAGGTTGACATCTGCTGGGCTTTTGGGATATTGCTGTTAAAGACTTTAAAAACCATGTTGCAGTTTTAAAATAATAGGCACAACTGGGATCATTTATTGCTGCTTGCTTGAGCTGCCGAAGTAGCCACTAAAACAGGCTATCACCCATCATTTATTAAAAGAGCAGCAATTATGTTATCACTTTAATTTGGCAAACTTCAGTGAAGATTGTCTTATGATTAGGTCAACAGGTAATTTTTTAGGTGTTTTTGTGGGAGTAGGTAGAAATAAATAAAATTAAATGAATATGGGAGTACTGGAAATGAAGATACTTGTAAATAAGAGCTAAGCTTAATATTGTTTTCTAGCTAATGTTTGGTTAATGCTAATAAACAACAAGAACAAATTACTTTATGAAGCTTAGTGGTTAAAAGTACAGGGCTCTGGGCCAGATCTGGATTTGAATCTTGGTGTTACTTTTTAATAGGGAGTTTGGGAAGAAAATTTATCACCTGCGGACTCATTTCTAAAAGGGGGTGTTGATAATAGTGCCTGCATCCTTAGGTGGTTGTGATAATTAAGAGAAAAAAGATGTATGTAAAACATCACAGTGCTGGCCACATAGAAAGTGCTGAGTACATTAAAATTAACCATATTCATTATAAACCATAGTTTATAAAATTCACATTCTTAAACTGAAAATGAAAATAAAATATATTGGAAAATGAATTAAATGGTCTTATGATACATGAGCATTCACAGCTCTCAAGATATTATTATTGGCCTTCCTGGTAGCTCACAATGTCTCTTATAAAGGTGGATGAGTAAAAGTATATTAAACATGAGTGTGGAATTACAGATTTTCCTCAGGATGGCAGGGCTTTACATCCTCTTTAGTTATAAATGTCCCTGCCTTGAGTATTTTTCATTCTTTGAACACCCTGAGTCAATGAGTTCTGATATTTTTCCTAAAGACTAGCAGCAAAGTCAGTTAATTTCCCTTCTAATTTTATGTTGCTCTGAACTTATCATTTATTATGTATCTAGAAAGAGACTTTTTCAAAGAAAATGATATACCTGGGCTAATATGTTCTATTTGCTGTCTTGTAAGATGGGGTCAGTCCTACAATGGTGTCATATTCTGCGGATGCTGTGAACAAGGATAGTTGTCACGATATTATCACGATGATAATCCGTGAGCACGGAATGCGTGACAATGCACAGGAAGTGTTTAGCCCAGCACCAGGCACATGGTGCTTAGTAGACCCTAGCCCAGCAGCAGCAGTGCACCACGTGAAGGATCGAGATCTCAAAACACTAGGTAGCAAATGCT